TGAGACTTCTATCAATATAGAATTCAGGTCTATTTAACTGAAGGTGGTGGTTCTCAGTGTGTTTCCTGGATTCTTTTATCAATGGAGCTTACTTCAGTAAATGTGAAAATAATCATAATTACTGAATGAGAAAATCTAAACTACGTTAACGTATCTGCTTTTTCATGATCATGATATACAAGTCAGCACAGAAAGACCATTTTCTGTGCTGAAATTCATCTGCCCCTCCCCCACTAATCAAATATGATCAACAGAGTTCTGAAGACTCCCTCATTGGTTTAAAGAGATAATGAAAACATAATTTTTCTCAAGTTAAATATTTATAATTTTATTACCTTTACAAGAGTTGCATTGCATAAACATGAATTATGGCACATGTAGTTCAGAGTAGTGACCAAAGATAGTTCAGAGTAGTGACCAAATTGTTTTTTTAAAGGCACTGAATGGGCAGGGACCAAACCAAAGATCTGGGAAACTGGGTGATTTGAACCTAGGTTCTAGCACCATGTACACAGGCTCCTCTGCCTATTTGCACATTATAAATAAAGCCACAGATACAACTGGCACAAACAATAAAATGTTAGAATCTGTGTTGAAGACTTTGCCATGTCAGGCCTTCCAGTGTCAGAACATCTTGTTCCCTCATACATATGCTAATTATGTTTTATTTGCTTGAGTTCCAGATAAAAATAACCTTAATTTGCTGAGGGGAGCATAGGTTCCAGAAGTCTAGTTTCTCCAGTAGTATTATGTTGAAAGGAGGGTGGATGCACATTACCTATCTTTTACTAATATTCTGTCAAAACTCAGTTGTCATGTTAGTACATTAAGGCTGTTGTGGGTGGTGGAAAAGGGAGTAAAAGAAAAGTTAACTCGGTTAATAAACTAAATGATATCAGTGAGGAAAAATTCTTGTAATAAGGATAGTGTTTTAATAACCTGTGCCATATCTTTTATAAGTCCCTTGCTAACACTCCTTAGTTTAGCAGTTTTTATTCATTAGAATGGATTTTTTTTAAGTCTCTCTTAACTGTTGGCTCTTATCTAGCCTTCTTAACCACTCTCTTGGCTACAGGCCAAGCAGTTTGAATGGCATTTGGGACTAAAGGTTGGAAAGGCATTGTAGTGATTTTCACAGAGATAAGAATGTTGTTCATGAAAAATTTTTTTAGCCTGTTTGGCCTATAATTAATGGAAATGGGAAAAAAATAATGATCAAAAACATAAGAGTTTGTTTAGAGAAAAATGCCAATGACAAAACTGTTGTGATACTGTTAAGTCTTCTTATTGATCTTGCTTTGAATAAATGCCTGAAGGTAGTTTTTCATGCAACTATATCAACGCTGTTGTCTTTTTTTAAAAAAAGCTCTTTTAGGTTGATGACTCTACATTGCTTTAGTAAATATTTTGTATTGCTTTAACACCATACCTCTGAATGACTATACATTTATTTCTAGCCAAATTAGGCTACTGTGAATTATTTAAAAGCAAGGCAAATTTAAAGTTAGAAGTGTGTTTCAGATATAAAGTAAGAGCAGACTTTGGTCTCTTTACTGATAGTCTTAGCACATGAACATTAATTTAAATCATGTGCTCTTAAGATACTTATGTACTTCTGTTAGGAGAATGTTGAATTTTAAACTCTTATGCATAGGAGTTTTTAAAATTGCTCCACTTCAAATTCAAAACATAATCTTCTGGATGGGAGGGAGACTAGATGTACAGCCCAATATGGATGAAACCAGTAGCCCTCTCTGCTATTCCTAGAAACATTCACTCATCTTATGACCCTTGCTTACATCATTGGCTCATAGGGTTGCCTGGTCCCCTCATCACTATGATGAAGGTATTTGGGGGTATTCCATAGGTAGGCAACGATATCACACAACGTCCCTGGCGCAATGACATCACCCAGAAGTGAAGCCATTGCATTGGGGATGCTCTGATATTTTGGTGAAACTTTTTTTGTTGTCCTCAAGCCATAGAGTTTGCCCAAATACCAGAACATCCCTGCATGATGTCCCTGATACAATGACACGATGTCCCTGACATAATGACATAACTTCTTGGTGTTTAGGGATGGGGTTTCCCTGCTGGGCAGCTGGTCTGCAGCAGGGAGAAGCCCCTGAAACTGGGGCATCCCCCACCTGGACCTGGGTACTGGAAAGCCTATTGTCTCACATGGATAGAGGAGCAAGGGTGCCTAAATATTACCTTAGACAGGCGGTGAGAACTGGAAACTTAGCTGCCACCTATCATGTGTAGTTCAAATTGGATTGCAGTGCCCCATTATGTGCGTATGACATTTACATGGAGAGTACTGTTTTCTGGAGATTTCACTTATTCTGAGGAAACTGTGTATGGAAGTTCTGGATATTTAGGGTACATTGTCTGTGTTTGAATGCCCTTTATAGCAGTGCTTTTTATTTGTTAATGATTTTGTTACAAGAATACAACACTACATAGTGTTGAAAAGTGCCTTCAAATCTCCGCTGACTTACGGTGACCCTGTAGGATTTTCAAGGCAAGAGATGTTCAGAGGTGGTTTGCCATTGCCTGCCTCTGTGGAGTGACCTTGGACTTCCTTGGTAGGCTCCCATCCAAATAGTGACCAGGGCCAACCCTGCTTATCTTTGGAGATCTGATGAAATCAGGCTAGCCTGGGCCATCCAGGTCAGGGAATAACACTACTTAATGAGCAATTATTCAGCAAACAGCTTTAAAGCATCAAA